CTGACACCATGCCTTCACCTAACACTGCACCATGTAGGATTGCTAGTTGAAATAAGGGACAGAGCTCTTGTCGTTTTGATGGTTATACAGATGTAGTAGTTGCAGTAAGTGCCCATTGTCATGTAAGCAACACCTGATGAAATTCCCTCATCTACACAACCATTAAAGGGACAAGAAAAACACTTCAGTGCCTGAAGGGTTCACAATCCCAAGCTGAAAAGTGGGCCTGCAAGCACTGAAAAATGGTGATCTAAGAGTTCTGGGAATGGAAGAACAAACAATTCAATAGAATGTTGCCAATCATATTTCAATAGTCAGTTCTCAGAGGGATGGGGATGCCTGGGTATTTAGACCCCACCAATAATAATAATTTCATTTTGAAATAAAAAACCAATAGTTCAGGTAGTTATATCACATACTTCTCTGCTAATTTTGATTTCAAAGTAGTTTCCAAGCACACTTTAATGTTTGTTTTATCCCTATCCTGTCTGTACAGACCCAGAAAACATTGTGAGCTTTTAGTTGAATTATTTTTCTGGATCCAAAAAGCCTAAAGCGATAATTATCTGAGATTTGCTTTCTTTTATTTGAGTCCACAATTCTGAGTGCTGTCTCTCTACAGTTCTGTTTAAGAGCCAAATATAGCAAGGGCACTTGCAACCCTTTCAAAGGAGAAGTACAGATCCAGGCTCTAATTGTATCACATTTCATATCTAAAAATAAGAACAAAATGTGTTTCACAGGGCTCATAAGATATCTTCCCCCCTTCAAGGAAATGGAAGTAGTTGGGAGCTGGAAGAAAGCCAAATGGTCACTAAATCCTGGAGCTGTTGAGCTGGAAGCAACTGTGACATCACCTAATTGAGCTATTGGGAATACTAGAATGCAAAGGGATCTTGTAGCACCTTTGAGAATAACTGAGCAAAAGAAGGCATAGCAAGAGTTCTCATAGACTAACTTCTTTCACTCAGTTTGCGCCATCTTGGAGGCAGGCAAGCGGAGGGGCAGCTGCACACTGGCTGCCCAAAGCCCTCCCCGAAGACGTTCTGACGGCACGCACCGTTATGCACAGCATGCACCGTCAAAACATCCTTCCAGCACAGCGTCTTGATGCACTGTGCCAGAAGGGATGCAGAAAAGCCATGCAGTGGCTCTTGAGGTGCCCTATTTGCCAGCTCTGAAAGGAGTGGCATTTTGCCACTCTTTTTCAGGCCAGTAAATGGGAGAATCAGGGCCACTGCATGTGGTAGCAGCAGCCCAGATCCTCTGCCTTCCGGGGCAGTCCAGGGCCACCCGTCTGCATTGCCTCTTAGTCTCAAAGGTACTACAAGATCTCTTTGCATACTGGTATTCCAGACAAATAGGGCTATATCTCTGAATTCTACACAACTGGGAAAACTATCAGTGCTTCTTTCTTCAGCAGATAAATGTTTTAAACATGATTTTTCCCCATCCCAAATACAAAGAAATATGCAAATTTCAGTTGCTGGAACAAAAATATTCCTATTTGTACTAAACAATTTTATTAGGTACAAGTATGCCCAGTATGGTGTAGCCAGCATGGTGTAGCGGTCTGAGTATTGTCTGGAGACCAAAGTTTGATTCACCACTCAGCCATGTAACCAAGTCACATGCTCTCAGCATCAGGGGAAGGCAATGTCTAACCCCCTCTGAACAAATCTTGCCAAGAAAACCCCATGATAGGGTCACCTTAAGCTCACCATAATTTGAAGGCCCACCACAACAATGGCCAGCATAAGGAGGAGGATGTTATGCCTGCCATGTAAAGATGGTTGTGGACAAATCTGTCAGTTTTGGTTTTTCCCATGTTTGAATTTTTACATTGCAAGTTCTTTCATCCTCAATATAAAGCAGATTGTGAGTTTGGGCAAAGTCATATCAGAAACAGTCTGAAATTGAATTGTCACACATCCTTAATGCAATCCAACCTGTGCTGTGAGGCAGAAACAGCCACAGATTATCAGTTCAGACTGCAAGATGCTACAGGCAGAGAGCTGTGGAGAGGTGAGCACTAACAGAACAGACATGCTGGACTGACTCTCAGGTGAAAAGACCTCAACATTTTGCAGCAGGCTGGTTCTAACTGTGGAACTCCCTACCAAGAGAGGCATGCCCAGCCTACTCCCTGATTATCTTTTGCTGGCAGGCAAAGCAATTTTGTTTAAGAAGATCATGGACTGGCAGCTGAGGAAAGGACTTTTAATGAAAGGGGGAAAAGGGACCTTTAATGCAGGAGGGATGCTCTATTTTTTATTATTAGTGTAATTTTAAATTGCTTTTAATCTGTGGTTCAACAATATAATTTGTTTCATTGTCATTGTTATTTTCTATTTTAATATCTTGTGCTTTTACTTGGATCTCTTTTGGTTAGTCTGGTTTCAGCTCCCTTGAGCCTCAGCTTTTGAGGAAGGCAGGATATCAGTCTAAATAAATAAATATTTTTATATCATTTTTTTAAAAGGAACGAGCACTTCGAAGCTTTCAATTTAGGATTTTGTCTCTTTCTTCTTAAATCTACAAGATAATGCAAATGGTTTCTTTGCACACCCTCTTTTATAGGTCTTTTAAATTGTAATTTTTAGAGGAGCTAGCATGGCATAGTGGTTTGAGTGTTGGGCTATTACTCTGTCAACCAGGGTTCAATTCCCAGTTTGGCTATGAAACCCACTGGCTGACCTTGAACAAATCATATATGCTGTCATGTATCAAGCGAAGGCAATGGCAAACCTCCTGTATACAAATCTTGCCAAGAAATCCACCTTAGGATCACCATAAATAATGATTTGAAGGCACAACAATAAACTTCTAAAGCTTCCCTTGGCTGTTTGGGGGCATGTAGTGCTTTCATGTGGTGGCAACCAACAACAACAACAACAAAATAAAGTGGGGCCCTGCAAATTGGTACCCCTGCAGTGGTGGATGTGACTTCTGAAAACCTTTAGTACATATGCTGTAAGTAACATTTTCATGGTAGTGTTACACATTTCTGGAAGTGACTGGTGTATAGAGGTATTTAGCATACTACAGGTCATTTACTGTTGTTATGCCTATTGTATGGAATGCTGACATGTGGAGGATCCTTTTGACCATGTGTGCTTGTGTGAGCACAAGGCAGGGCTGGGAGGCATATGGTGTTCCAGATATTTTTGCATGGCAACTCCCAGCATTCCTCACCATTGGCTATGCTGGCTTGGCCTGATGCGACCTGCAGGCCAAAAACAATCTGGAAGACCGTATGATTCGTAAATTGTATGTAAACTTTATATCAGACCCTACATGTTAATATGAACATTTGCCAGTGCCTTCATCATGACCATTTTAAAAACTTTTCTGGGTTTCTAGATACCTTGCTATTTTATGAATCTCACATTTGATTTCACTTCTCCAGGCTTCTGTTGCCTGTAAATAGGAGTGAAAATACTTCTCTGCTTCCAGATTATGTTCTACAGATTTTAAAACACAATAGATATATTTTTAATAGCAGTGGGAACTATTATTGAGCCCTTATTTATTTTATTATCACCCATATATAGAGCTTATGAGCATGGTACCTATGTTCCAGTTTTCTGTCTGGCTAAGAGTGTGGTCCTAATTGGGCAAAATAGCCAAAGCTTCTGCCTGACCTGACACTACACCAGCTTTACCTATGCAGACTCTAGCATGCTCCCAAGCTAGGGGTGTTGTAAATTTCTCAGGACTATTCTTAGGTATGTTAGGGCCTTTTCAGACTGCCAGAAATAGTGCAAATTGAGTCCACTTTAACTGCCCTGACTCATTGCTAGGGAATCATGGGAACTGTAGTTTATTGTGGCACCAGAGCTCTCTGACAGAGAAGGCTCAATGTCTCAGGGGAAAAAAAAAAATACATTTTCCATGATTCCCTAGCACTGAGCCAGGGCAGTTAAAGTGGAATCAATTTGCACTATTTCTAGCAGTCTGCAAAGGCCCTTAATCTTCATAAATTTGTTCTGGTAGGCAAGAACTAATAATTTTGCATGAAAGCTGTTAAATGAGCAGTTTTCAAAGACTGCAGTTTGAGAGTTATTTTGTGCAAAAAAAAAATACATATGGTTTCAAGTGTCTTCACAGAAAACAGTAATTTCTTCACAAGACACCTGTGCAGAAAATGTCTGCACATTTTTTTTAAAAAAGCATGAATTTTTCATGCAAAACAAGTCCTAAACTGCAACAGTTTTCACCTGTCAAGAATTCTCCTCATTGGTATTTCTTGATACAAATAAATAACTAAATAAATAAATTAAAAATATTTTGACAATTTTTTGGAATATTTTCAAATAGTTTTTTCATTCCTACACCCCAGAACCTAGCCCACCATTGTCTCAGTATCGTCAGGGCTGAAATATTGAAGTATTAAACCAAAAGATACAATGGTGTTATTTCACTTGTGGGAATGGGAGAAGGATGATTCCCCCTGAAGTTCCCGAACATCCTCACAATCTGCTCTGGAAGGCCAGAAAATTTCTAGGAGTAGGTATTTGGCCAACATGGATGTGGAGGAAAGAAGAAAGTGCTGTTACACAAACAGATGTCTGCTGGTATCATACTGGATTGAAGCTGCTGCACTGCAGAATGAATCTCAAATGTTGTTAGGGCCACACAGATCAATGGCCCAGAGAAAATGTGGGAAACTGTTGTGATTTCACCACAGAACTACTGAATCAGTGTATCTAAGTGTTAGAACATTTGAAATATACTGGGCAATAAATTGCACTTTTGAGATCATCCCACTTTTGTTCCTTCATTCAATACCTTCTTCTTTTGCTTCAGGTGATCCCAATTTTCAACAAATCCTCAGAAGTACAACTAGTTCTCCAGCCTGTCTTCAAATACAAAATCAGTATTATACAGTATTTCACTTGCTCAGGTAGCTGCTTTGGTCTATAAGAAAGGAGGTAGGTCCAGTGTACAGTTATTTGATATCATACACTGATTTTTGATTATTGTAATTGCAATCACTCATTCACTCATCGGGACTAGACAGAACTGTTAATTTAAACAATTTATCCCTTTTAGACTAGAGGTATGCATTGTGCTAGACTTCTGCTGTGGCTCTCTATATATTGACTCAGGCCTGCATCCTTCCAAGGTCACTAAAATGAGTACCCAGCTGTTAGGGGGCAATGAGCTTATAGTTGTAAACTGCTTAGACCAGGGGTCGGCAACTTTTTTTGCCAACGGGCCAGGAGGGGGGGGAATGGGGCTGGGGGGCCGGTGTGCACGCGTGCTTGCCCCCCCCGCGTGCATGCATGCGTGCCACTATTTTGAAAAAAAATGGCGGCCGCCACTCTATGTCACGCACGCATGTGCACGACGGCAGGGGCCCACCCAGGAGGGCTTCCTTGGCCGCACCGAGCCTCCGAGAGGCCCAGCACTGCTGCGGGTGCCCCCCAGGAGGCCTCCCTTGGCAGCGCCAGGTCTCCGAGAGGCCCAGCGCCACCGCGTATGCCCCCCAGGAGGCTTCCCTCAGCAGCGCCGGGCCTCCGAGAGGCCCAGCGCCACCGCAGAGCTCCTCCGGGGTGCCATTTTGGAAGCTCGTACTGGAAAACAAAATGCTAATCTACATCGGCCACATTCCCTACTCTAACTATGACAAGGACCTACCTGCTAAGTCATAGTTAAAGATAAAAACTTTTATCACAAGAAAAGAAATAGCAGCCATAATTCAGCACTACAAACATGGCTGAGCACACTATGTTGTTTGTTTAAACCCAGACTTTCATGAGCTAAATATTCTTCTTTCTGGATGCATGAATTGGACACTTTTGCTTTACTGATTTTAGTTTGAAAAAATGCTGTAAGATTCTTTCTGTCTTGTTTATGGAGAATTTTGCAGATTTTGCGAATTATTTTTTTAAGAGTATTAATGAAATTTTCTTCCATTCCTAGTTAGCAGTGCAGGTGATCCAAACTGAAAAAGCAAGTGCCTAAAGAAAGGGTCCTCAGTAGTAGAATCATATGTAGGAAGCTAAGGCCTTTGCAGACTGCCAGAAATAGTGCACATTAATTGAGGCACTGCCCTGGCTCAGTGCTAGGGAATCATGGGAACTGTAATTTATTGTGGCACCAGAGCTCTCTGACAGAGAAGGCTCAATGTCTCAGAAAAAAACAACAATTCCCATGACTCCCTAGCACTGAGCCAGGGCAGTGCCTCAATTTAATGTGCACTATTTCTGGCAGTCTGCAAAGGCAGCTAGTTTCCCCTCAAGAACCAGCCAAGTGCTGTCATGGCCACATTTAGAAAGAAGTAAATGGGTCTAACTTTTGGCTTTCTATCACTTGTTAGTATATTGGTATCCAAGCTGGAGGGAGCCAGTGTGGTGTAGTGGTTTGAGTGTTGGACTATGACTCTGGAGACCAGGATTTGATTCCCTGGTTAGCAATGGAAGCTTACTGGGTGGCCTTGGACAAGTCACACTCTCTCAGCCTCAGAAGAAGGCAATGGCAATCCTGCTCTGAACAAACCTTGCCAAGAAAACGCCATGATAGGTTTTCCATAGGTTCACCATAAGACCAAAATTACTTGAAGATACACAGCAGCAGCAGCAGCAGCAACAACAAATCTAACCTAGGATAGTGAAATGTTACCTCAATACTTCTTGCAAAAAACTCTGTTCCATGATGGCTGTGGCTGCCTTTATACTCCACATTGTTTTCATATTTGCAGACAACTTTACTGTAAAGCTGAGAATTTCTCTTTATTACCCTTTTGAGGGTTTTTCCTAAAAGGAGGCCCCCAGGGATAAAAATTACCCAACAGTTGCTAATGAGTTGCTAATAACCGAACAGTTGCTAATAGATTAATACCTTTGAGGGCTCCTGGAATGTTAGGACAATGTATGCCTGTATGTAAGCTATGTATTGCTTTCAGAGAGAGAGAAGTACAAGAGTTGAGTAACAAATTCACATTTCATTTGGTCTGGGTGGCTCAAATAACAACAAAATGCAGTCCTGAAGAATTCCTAAGAAAGGAATGTGTCCCATCCTCCCTTTCCTGGGTCTTTTCCCTCTTCCTCCCCACTCTCTCTCATGCCTTCTGCTAGGACATGAAGCACAACTCCATTTCACAGTAATCATAAATTAATTTAAAGCCAGCAGCCCATCGCAGAGTCAGGCAGAGGTGTTGAGGGAGAAGCCGTTCAGAGCAATGTGAGCCAGGCACTGTCAAAGACAGCGATCCAAGGAAGATGTTTGCTGTTTCTCTGAAGTGTCGACTAGGGGTGGTCAGACGTCGGAATAAAGGTACTGGGGTCTCGGGAGGGGAGGATTGATGCAACACCTTATGACCTATTGACAGAGATGGGCAGCCAGACAGAGGGACTTATTTCCAGTTTAAATGTCTTCTTTCCTTTGGCAGCCAGAGAAGAGGGAAACTAGGTTGCATTGTACCGTCTGCTTGCTTTGCATTGGCAAAGAGAGGAGAGCAGATTTGCCAACCCCTTTAGGGATAACAATTCCAGGAGAAATAACTTAGAGGTTTACTAATGCTAATTGCAGGTGTATTTGTATTAACATGAGATTTTGATGCATGGTTGCAGCAACATTTTCTGAAGAGGGTTAATTTGTGTTTGGGGGGGGGCATGGGACAGAGCATTGTTTGCACTGTTTTGTTTCATAGCATTGGTTGGTACTGCAAGTTG